AACTTTTCAATAACGACTAAAACAAGCTTTATTCGTAAGTTGAAGTTCTGAGGTCATTTATTTTTGTCAGCAATGAGGTCATGTGAGGTCATAATGAGGTCATTCGTGATAAAAATAAAGCTAGCGTAGATTTTACAATACTGCGATGGTAGAGTTTAAGAGTTGTGCTTCAATGTAGAGACAGTCCTTATGGTCTGGAGGTAAGAACACTGGACATTTATGGTCATGAGTGGAGAACATGTCTATCCAAAACTCACGATTGAAGCCAGTTAATTTATAGTATTTAGGGTTAGGAAGTGGTGAAGTTCTTGTATGACCAATGAACTCATTTTCAACTCCTTACTTAAGTTTGAATATAATATAGCTTGCTTTCTATCCCAAATGCCAGGTGTTACAATCTTTGAAAATTCATTTTTCCTCGGAAGCATTGCATCATAATTGAAAACATTCTTGAAGTCTCATTGGTTCAGAGATTTGAAACTTATACGTAATGGATTTTCTTTCTTTTTAGCGACTTCATTGAATGGTGAATATATAACAAACTGACAGTCATGAGTTCCATCTTCATTTTCATTAAATTCATAATGAAAGTCTATAAGTTGTGGCTGACTACCTTCTTCTTTCAGTTGTGCAAGAAACTCACGTAAAGGCTGTAAAGTTTGTACTTCAATATTGAACTTTTTCTCGAACATCTCATTAAATGAAATCATACATTGCAACAATGTTGTATCGTCTTTAAAGTATTTGTATATGTGAATGTTTTGGGCGCTTAAAGACTGTTCGTCATTTTCTATCTCGACTTGAAGTATAAAGTCAACCTTTCTGAAAGCACGTGTTATATACATAGATGTTATGCCAATGTACTTCTCTTCATTTATGTTCACAATCCAGTCTGTTGGAAACTTAAACGTTACTCTGTTCCCCTTTATTTTGACGTCAGGGTTTTCACTACTGAACGCAACAGATAAAGGTATTTGTCTATACATTTAGTTCGGATAAAAATAAACCATTTACTCTTTCTTTGCTTCAGCTTCTTTAGCTTTTTGTTCTTCCTTTGCTTTTGCTTCTTCTCTAGCTTTTTTCGCCAGCAAACGTGGGTTCTTCTGTCTTCCAGCAGCTAATGCAGCTAGTTGTTTTTCACTAAGTTTTCTCTTTGGTCTCTCTGGCTTTTGTTCTTGTTTTTGTTCCTTCAGTTCGGATAAAATTTGCTCACGAATTTCTTTCTTCAATGCTTCAACATCTATGACCCCTTGGGTCTTGTCCGTAGGATTGTCTGAGTCATTTGACTGTAGATAAAAAACTAAATTAAAACTTTAACCGATGTAAAATGAGCTTGTCAAAATCAGAACGAGAGTCTATTATATTAAATGACGCAAGAGGAATACAACATCCTTTCTATTATGTAAGTCAGAGTAAAGATGGTAAAATATATGTAAGAAAAAGAAAGGTTCCATTAGCGAATGCAGAGAGCGACAACATTAAGGTGCATGGCAAGGGGAAGCCACGAAGCCCATATAAAACCTTCTGTTCAAACTGAGCCACCAAAAGAACAAGAAGAAAAGAAGCCAGATGTACTTTCAATAACGAACCAAGAGCTTATTGCAAAGTTCGTGAATTTCATTGAAAAGCAAACCGAGTCAAAGAACCCTGACCCCCAGTGAAAGAAGTTGAGACAAAAGAGAATGTACAGTTCATTGAAAATGTCAAGAAACAACTTCCACCACGAATACCAAGAAGAAGAGTGAGAATAATGAAGTAAATAGATATTTTTATCTGAAGTAAATACATGCAGAACGAACAGTTAAACGAATTTACTCCAGCAGAGCATATTCATCAGATTCGCTCATATTTCGATATCATAGACAATGCAGTTCAAATTGGTGACACTAATAGAAAATATTCTGACGCAAAGATTCCATCACAACCTGGAACTGCTAAAGATAACACATGGGTAACATTCAATCTCTCACCTCCTGGTGAAAATATGTTGGACCTTTACAATACATTCATTACGTATAAAATGGAAGGTCAATTTATTGTAGATAAAGAAATTGGTTCAGGTTCCAATAAAACAAACCCACCAGGATTTTGGATTGGTTTCGATGACGCTTTCTATGCAGTTGCTGGATATCAAATCCTTGCAAATGGTCGTATCGTATATTCTCAAGACAACGCAAGAGAAGAAGCATATATAACTTCAAACTCACAAACTACCGAACAAATAAAGAAAGTAGATGTTTTTCAAAGACTCGACATGAAGATGTATGGAGTCATTCGGGAACATGCAGAACAGGACAAATTGTTAGTGGTCCAATTACAGCAGGAAAATCATTTGATTTTAAGCTTCGTTTAAGAATTCCTGTTAGAAGATTCCTTCCATTAGAAGCTATTCGATTTATTCCAGCTTTTGCAGGAAACATTCAGCTTAAAGTAAAGTTCAGTAGCGACGCCTTACAATGCACATCTATATCTGTAAATGATATCATTGCTTTCAATCCAACTCTTAAAGTTGCATTTGCTTCAGATTCAAATCCACCGACAAATAAATTTGTTCCATGGAATGAACCATTCACTATGATAACGAAGGCAGTAGAAGCTAGTGGAACAGTTACTATTACAACTGTAACCCAGCAACTATTTCGAACAAAGATGGATTTTAATGAATGTTTCATTCATCCAAAGTCATTCTCTTTAGACCCTAACATTTATACAGAACTTGTAGAACATTATACAAACGAGGCTTTATGTTTTCCTGTTAAAGTTATGGATTGGATTCCTATGGACGGTTCATTCTCAAAGAATACAGATAGTTCAAGTGCAACATTTACAGCAGCTTATACGCCTATTAATGTTAAAAGTATTTGGGCACTATTTAGAAAGAAAGACAACTATTATGTTAATTTTGAGAACCCTAAGTTTAAATATCTTCAGCTTTCCATGGGAGCTTATGGAAATATGCCTGCAGAACCTGAAAAATCATATGGACCTGTATTTTATGAAATGGTTGCGAACGCTTGCAATACAAACAATGATATGATTGGATTTAATGAAGATGTTATGAGGTCATTGGTGGATGATGGTAGTGTGGAACATAAATGGGATAGCTATGACAACACACATTTCTTATGTGGTTTTCCAACAGAAGTGGACTTTTGCTTCCAGCAAGGTCAAACATCTACTGCTCCAATAACATACAAATTGTCTGTTAAAGGACCTATTGAACTAGCAACTGAAAATGTACCAAAGCCACTTATTGGATTTATGAGGGATTGTTGCTTTGCAATACAAGTAAGCAGTCAGGCAACCAATAATAAGACTTGACGACTATAACTTAGCAGACGACAGTGAGGAATAAAGGATGAACGTTTATTTTTAAAGCTTATAAATGAGTTCTTCATCAAGCTCTCGTGAACCTTCACCATCTGTGAAACAAACTTTACCAAACGATTATGGAGCACCTATTGAATATTTCTTACGAGCTGCACAATGGCAAAGAGCAGTCTCACCAAGGTTAGGTGTTCCACCAGCTCCTGTCAAAAATAGCATTTGGTCAAGTCCTTATATAAGATATGGTCTCCCACTAGGTTTGCTAGCTACAGCAGGAGCAGTAATGATGTTGAAAAGAAATAAAGCAAATGTTATAAATAATACTGAAGTAGCTGAATTGAACAAACTCCGACACCATCGCCAAAACCAACGTCAAAACCAACGCCTTCACAAACAACACCTTCAATGACTCCTGAACCTATGAAAGTACAAACTCCTGTTCAAAAGTCAACTCCAAAACCGACTCCAACATTTAAACCAGAACCTACTCCTCAAATAAATCGTAAAACTCCTGCGTTTCCTTACTGAAAAAATAATGTTAGTTTTATTTTATTTGAACATTTTATTTAGAGTAAAATGACGACTAAAGTCACTGAAGCAATGAAACAAAATTTTTGGTAGAATACATTAAATCAGGAACTGTTCCAGAAGGTTTTTACATTCATACTATGAAGGATGGTAGAGTTCAGTTTAGAAAGATAAAGCAACCATTAGATAGAGAAGGTATTTAAGGAAGATTAAACTTCATGAGGACAACATTGCTGAACTTAAGAAGAAGTTAGAAGAGTTGGAGAAAGGAAGAGAGTTATAAAGCAATGAATTCAACAGGGTGAAAAAGAGGTGAAAAAAGAGGTGAGATTCACCACTTCACCTAAATTTATTTTTGTGCTATGTTTTCATACGTGTGAGGGTGGTGATATCATTAATTTTTAAGTTTATTTTTATTTTACTGAATTTTTATTTTATTTTTATTTTATTTTATATAAATGACGAAAACTATTGAGATAACAAACTACAACGGTCATGAGTTCAAGAATTTGTTCTTCGTTCCTCGTGAAAATACATTCTATCAGATACGAGGGAGAAAGGGTAAAGTTAGTTTGAGCGTTTATGAAGGAATGAAGAATGGAAAGTTTATACAAGCATACGATACAAACGGTAAACGTGTTTCATTAGCTTTGTCAAAACTTACTAACATTTATTTTGACAGTGACTTTGACTCTGACGATTGGAGCGACAGCAGCGATACTGAAGAATATGAACTATTGTGTGAAGCACAGCAATGGGAAGAGTTGCAATACTTTTGTAAGTGAGAACGTTTATTTTTACAGTAGTAAGGTGAAGTGGTTGGCGGCTTTATAAATATTTAAGGTTAAGTTGGTGTTTGTGTTTGTGTTGTAAAATATACGTTACTGGTTTTGTAAAGTGTCAAAACAGCTAAGTGGTGTATGGAGGCGCGCAGTGCCTCAGTACACGACTTACCCATACTAACTACAAATATGTATATAACACGTGCTTTCAGAAAGGTTGACTTTATACTTCAAGTCGAGATAGAAAATGACGAACAGTCTTTAAGCGCCTAAAACATTCACATATACAAATACTTTAAAGACAGTACGACGTTAGAAGACTGTATAATTACATTTTACGAAAATTTTCAAAAGAAGTTTAACATGGATTTAGAAAAATTAAAACCTTTACGTGATTTTCTTGCAGAACTGAAAGAAGAAGGAATTGTAGAAAGATTAATAGCTTTTCATTACGAGTTTGTACCAAATGAAGATGGAACTCATGACTGTCAATTCATTGTATTCTCACCATTCAATGAAGTCGCTAAAGAGAAAAAAAATCCATTACGTATAAGATTTCAAATCTCTGAACCAAGTGATGATTTCAAGAATGTTTTCAATTATGATGCAATGCTTCCGAGGAAAGATGAATTTTCAAAGATTAGATTTCCAGGCATTTGGGATAGAAAGCAAGCTATATTATATTCAAACTTAAGTAAGGGAGTTGAAAATGAGTTTATTGGTCATACAAGAAATTCACCATTACCAAATCCTAAATACTATAAATTAACTGGCTTCAATCGTGAGTTTTGGATAGACATGTTCTCCACTCATGACCATAAAGCACCAGTGTTCTTACCTCCAGACCATAAGGACTGTCTCTACATTGAAGCACAACTCTTAAACTCTACCATCGCAGTATTGTAAAATCTACGCTAGCTTTATTTTTATCATTCATGACCTCATTCATGACCTCATTCATGACCTCATTCATGACCTCATTGCTGATAAAAATAAATGACCTCATTCATGACCTCATTCATGACCTCAGAACTTCAACTTACGAATAAAGCTTGTTTTAGTCGTTATTGAGAAGTTAAACTTTTCAGCAAAACAAGGTTGACATGACTTACATAAGTCAAATCCAATCTCTTGACCATCATGAAGTGATTTGTAAAGTTTCATTAAACTGAACTCAGAGTCTTTGTCATATGTTCCAACAGGTATGTGAATGTTCTTATCTTTCATAATAGCATTGTATGCTTCAGGAAACATTTCATTTAGCTGTTAAAGCAAGGACGTCTTGTTTGACACCTTTGCAACGTGCATGGAATGCAACTTCATTTAAATCATTTGTGAGTAAGTCTATGTAGGTCTTCTTTCCACAAAATATTGACTTGTATGCTAAACTTTGTTTTCCAGGTGTTATTTCTGCGAATCTGAATGAAATTGACCAAGGTTCTTTCCTATAAGTTCGCGACCGTATCTCTTCTTAAACTCTACTGCAAGCTTTGGTATGTCTTCATTGAAAATATGCATGCTATCGCAGTCCTGGTAAATATTTGAAGTCCCATATCTTCGGCAGTACAGAATACTTCGCACATTATTCTCTTCGACATAGACAGAATGTTAACACCAAGTGGACAGAAGTTAAAGTGTCTGCAAATGCTTTTCGTTAGCTTGAAAATAGTTTTATCTGAACCATCCAAACCTTCGAACTTCACTATATGGTTGTAGTTTCTGATGGCATATCTTATAGCATCTTTGTCATTTACTATGGTTATTTTTGACTCAATAGGAGATAGAATAGTTTTGCCATAAATACTGTTCAGAATGAGCTTTATATTTTCTTGCAAAGGATTTCCTTCTTTCTTATACTTTAACCTTAACTCAAACAACTTCTTTACTTCATCTCTTATTCTAATATCTCTGTTTCCATCGTAATAGTATCCTTGCAACACTTCACATTTGACACCTTGATATTTTATGAGGTCTTGTAATGTTATATGGTCAACATACATTAAACAGCAAGTGTTTGAACTTCTGGGAACGTTAAGTTCTGGATTTAGTTCAGGGTCACAAACTATTAAAGGAAAGTGTCTATGTATTCCAATCTCTGTTATCTTAATGAGAACAAAGAAGCCAGACATAAACTTTTCACCAATGGGTTCCTTTTGGTCGTCATCGAATAAATGTCTCATGAGATACTCTGTGCTTAACATTTCTTTCTTCATAACCTTTGGAATACCTTCTAAAGTACAAAGTCTTGCTATAGCTGAGGGATATAATGAAACAGCGTCGAAATCAGCAATGAGTTTCTTTTCGCTCTTTTGTTTCATGTTATCTGACAGCATACATCTTCCACCTTGAATACAGCGTGAAATAAATTCTCTTGGTTTATTTGAGAGGTCATATAAATTTCCATTCGGGAAGTACACTCTGTTCTCAAACAATTTGTTAGCAATAGAACAAATACTAACGTAGTCATAAACGTTTAAATCAAATTCTTTTAATATATCATTGCGGAACTTAACAAAACCTTCTCTTAAAATTCTTACATCTTGTTTGCAATAAAATGTGCTATACTTTTCTAAGTCGAAGTGGTTTTCATCTATTCTGCAACCTTTGATGGAATCTATGTTTTTCATGAACGTATCAATATCTTTTACAAACTTACACGCTTCAGAAATGACACCAATTCTGTTGTCATTCATGAGCAAAGTACTGCTGTAGTAGTTGTATGGAAATACTTCCTTTTCACCACACTGCAAATGAAACATAGCAGGAAATAGTTTAAGCTTCTTATTTATAACAGTGTAAGAGTCTTTAATAATGATTGCTTTACCTTTATATATTCCCGTTATTTGCATTGTTCGTGAACCTTTAATGATGGGAGTTCCTTTCACTTCTGTCATGTGTCTTAAGATGAAGTTTATGTCATAACTGAGGTTATGGAAATATATTAAACTCTTGTCAGGAAGTCGTTCCAAAAATTCTGTTGCACAGTTCTGACCCCAAATGCTTTCACTCACTGAACCATCTTCACTGTAACATATGTTAAAAGCTTTATGAACTCCATCAGTGCTACATTCAAAGTCAGCAAAGAAAACGTGCTCAGGAATGAACTTGCACTTATTTTTATTTACTTCTTTTGACTCGGCTTTCTTCTTCAGTTGTACACAATACTTTGGAGCATATGTCAAATCTTTAAATGGTGCAAGGTTCTGTTTATATAAGTCAGTCGTATATGTGAAAAGTTCTCCATAAGAAATAGGTTCGAAATATTTGCACTCCCACAATGTTTTCATAACATCCCATAACGGTGTTGTTCTATCATAACGAACTACATATTTGTTCTCTCTCTTTGTATAAATCTTCATCTGTTTCTCAATGTTCATTCCACCACACTCCTTCAAGATTTCTATATAGTTGCGAATGAAATATGTTGTCATTGGTAATCTTTCATTTAGCATGTAGTGGTCTTCAACAAGAAGTAAGTCAATAGTTCTAACAGTTTCACATTCTTTTGGTATGTATCTCTTTATTTCATTATGTCTTGAGTCATTGAAGTAACCAATGGTAACATTAAATGCTATACCTGTTGCGTCAGAAATTTCTTGTACTTTACTTTGAGGAAAGTCTCTAACACGAATGACTTCTCTCATGTGGTCAATAGTCTCTCATTACTCCAGCCTGAATGCAAGCATAAACGAAACAATTGTCTTCTGTCATAAGTGTTGCAGTTCTTTTGTTCATTCATTGAAGATTTGGTAGCGTTCAAGATTTATAGGTAATGTGCAAAGATACTTCCAGAACTGACCGCTTCTCTTCTTATAAAACTTCTTTTCACCATTATCTTTCCAAAAGCTTTCTATAAGTGCTGGGTTTCCTGTTTGCTTAAGAGCTTCCAAAATGGCTTTCTGGTCATTTGTCAGTGTGCTTTCATCTCTATATGGTCTCTTTTTTGGTTTGCCTTTCTTTACATCTGACATCGTTAAGCCTTCATATTCTGTTAAATCATACATCTTTATTTCAGTAAGATTCTTTATGTTTGTCAAGAAGAAGTCATAGTGCATTTCAACAATACCTGCAGCATTTGCTTCTATCTCTGATATAAAGTTCTCCTTCAAGAGCTGATGTAGTAATGTTCCAATATTATTGAGGTTTAACGTAGAACATTCATACTTTCCACCAAGTTTATAACATACCATCCATCTTTGTTGGGAGTTTATTTTAATCTTCTCTAAGAGTCTCATGAAAACCTTACCGAAATGTTTGTGTAAGTAGTCTCTGTTTGGTTCATCTAAAGCTTCGATGTTAAAGTCAATGAGTCTATTGCCTGTCTTAACATTCCTCTTCCTATTCTCTTCATCTTTCTTTAACCATCTCTCACCTTCTTTTGGTTTGTCGTCAATGGAACGAAGGACATCGTTAGCTTTGCGAACTTGTTCTATAGCGCTTTAAACATCTCTCTTCTCTGTTGTTTCAGTGTGTCGTCTCTTCTTCTTGTTTCACCAACGTTTGCATTTGTTATGTCAAACATTTCTCTTCTTACTTCATGAGGTACTGAACGTCTATGATATAAGTCAATAGCAACGTCATTTAAAGGAAATGCTCTTGCATGGACTTCGTCCTCGCCGCGTTGCGGCTTTATGAACTCATGAATTCTATCATAACTTATTGCACCATTATAGTCATTGAGGATGTCAGCGAGTGCTTTTTTGTTTGTTGCGTAATGCTTTGCAACATCTATATTAGCTTCTGTAAGAAGTTGTTTTATTTCCGAGTGTTCTAACTTAGACAACTTCCGATACATCTTTAGTAGGAAATAAAAAAATATTTTTTGAAAAAATTAGATTAGATTTTTTTAAGTTATTTTTCAAAATAATTTAATATTTTTATTTTAATGAAACACATGCAAGATTGCAAGTTCTTTTCATACAATGCTCTCGCTACTGCCATCAAGAATGAGTTCAATGGTGCTGCAAATGTTAATGTTATCTTTAACAAGAAGTTTGTGAAAGAATCTAAGTTTGGTCAGTATGTCAGACCATTAGCTATCGTCATTGACCGCAAACGTTATACTTCACAAGAGTTAGCAGTAGTTTTGAAACAAAAGAGTTTCTTCGTGAATGTCAAAGATACTCATTATACTGTCATAAAGAACTCTAACGTTGACTTCTTCAGTATTGCTTTAAATCTTTCCGAACAGAAAGAATATAAGAAAGGTGAAACAAATGTGAAATATTATCCTTCATCTCTGAAGACAATAACGAACAAAGATGTTATACAGAAATTCTTACCAAAGGTTGAATAAGCTTCTATTGACATTGACGAAGGAAGTGAAATGGTTGAAGAAATTGACCCTGAAGCTATTTAAGCAAAAATTTATTTTTGAATAACTGATGGTGTCACCACGTCACTATGTGTCACCAGGTTAATTAACTTCTCTTAAAAATGATGACAACATGACATTTTGACAACACAGCAGGATTAATGCAAAAATGAATGTTATCGTTAATGTTATCGTTAATGTTATCGTTTATGTTATCGTTAATGTTATCGTTTATGTTATCGTTAATGTTATCAGTGTCGAACATAATTGACATGGAGCATTTATGTTATCGTTTATGTTATCGTTAATGTTATCGTTTATGTTATCGTTAATGTTATCGTTAATGTTATCGTTAATGTTATCAGTGTCGAACATAATTGACGAAGAGAGAATCGTCTGATCGTCAAGTTTATTAGTTAACGGGAGGGTTAGATATATTCCATCGCAACTGAAAAATGATGACAACATGACATTTAGCCAACAGTCCAGGAAATAAATTTTATCGTTAATGTTATCAGTGTCGATCATAATCGACGAAGGGTTTTGTTTTTTATCGTGGTTTTCTCCACTATGGTCCTAACGTGGCACCCGA